CCGGCGGTCGCTCGGCACGGACCGGGTCGAGGCTTCATCAGCGTGTGCCGGGCTCCAGCACGGTGCCCGCTTCCTGCTCTTAGGCCCTAAGCGTGTCCCTAAAGTCCGCAGTCACCAAGGCATCTTAGAACATCATGACTTTGTGAATTTCCTTCTTTTTGGCCGAAAGATTCCTTGTGTAAAGTTAGAGGTCGTTTAGGTAAGTGTAAGTATCACGCGAGCATCCCGTGACACACTGCTAGAGCTGTGCAGCAGTAGTAGTAGCATCTAGTACCTCACATCATTATTGCTGCTGTACTGATGATGGGAAATAGGGACAATGCCGTTTGCCATAGGTTGCCAAGCAGGCTAGCAGCACAGCCAGGAATCGGACCGGGATACGTGATTCCCTGTCAAGTGTTTTCTCCTGGCTTCGAAACAGGACTTGTAGATGGCCTATGCCATTTCCATATGCTCTAGTAGAATGGCAAGCGCTCTGACACTGAAATCTGGAATGTGTAATTGCTGACAGGCTGTTATCACAGAGACTACAGACATTTTATAGCTTTTTTTTTTGGCAGACATATTACATGGTGGTTATGATAACAGATGTCAGAAGAGTGGTGTGTCTTCCTTCACCCTCCCCACAATATTTCCCAGCAACAGACCTAGTTTTTCTTCTTTGTCCTTCTCTCTGAGCCATTGGCACTACAGAAGCCAACTAACAAGTATTGAGTTGTGCTTCACTATTCGGTATCCTCAACTGGTTGTACACACCAGTAATTTCAAATTTCATGCAAATTCATTAAAGATCTGTACCTCTGTAAACTCTTGTATACATCCTCAGCCCTTTAAACACTTCATTGCTTTCCTAACTTTAATGCTGTAACTTTCTCAGAAGTCAGGAAAATCAACATCGAGGTGACATGCAACACAAGTGCATGAAAACATGTTTGCAGAATGTGGGTTAAAGAACCTCCCTCATTCTACAGTGGGTAGGGTGAGTTTGTTTGCATGTGTTATTGGCAAATTCGCTGTGTTTAAATGTGGTCCTTTAGCACATCCTCATCTTGCTGCTTATACATTGAACTCAAATTTTTTTAAGTGTGGATTTTTCATTTGCTTAATTATTACAACCTGTTGCTACTACATAAGTATGACTAAACTCGATTGCTTAGATATTTTTATGTAATCATCCCCTTTACAAGACTTATCATCTGACCTGAAAAGGTGAAACATTGATCTCTAGAGAAAAAATTTGTAAGGTGGAGCCTGTTTTATCGACTGGATATTAACCCAGTTTTTCCCTAGCTTCACAGGTATGTAAGTATCTGTAGCATACTTGGTGCTTTATAATAAACAGTTATAATATAGGCTGCGTGGGTTCTCCTCTTGATGATGCACAGTGTCTTATTGTTTGATTCTGGTGGTTAGCGGTATTGGTGATTTATTGATTGATGGCTGTTTTTTTATTCAAATAGGAGAAATCACACACACAGATGTGAAGTCTCTCCCAAGTGACTGTACTGCAGCTTCCCACCTCTTTGAAATGTAACAGGGACAACGAGTCTAAAAGAAATTTGTGCTATGCAGAATGTGCTTGATATGGGCAAATGTAAACCTCAGGCATTTTAAACTTGAAATTTCCAGCCTGGGCTCATGTGGCAGGTTTAGAACCCGTGTGGTACTAAAACTGCTATCCAGCAATCCTTATTTCATTGAAAAATTGTGGGGACTATATTTAGTACCCATTTCTGGTACGCAGATCTTCACAGATGCAGGTTTACTTTGCAGTAAATTTTTAAAGGCCTAAACATAGTAATGTCTTCTCAAAATGTCTGTCACTTGGGAGAGCAGTGGCAGTGTAAATGAATTAAAAAAATGTAGTGACAAGCACAATGTAGTGTTGACCAGCATATAAATAAGTGCTTACCACTGTGCAGCATGAGGACGGGTTAAAGCATCTAATTGCTTTTGAGGAATGGGATTACAGCTAACTTTGCTTAGGGAGTCAGGAGAGAAAGCGGAGGGTGGAGGGTTATGGAAAAGATAGAATTAACATTCATATAATCTTGAGGCTTCATGAATAATTGAAAATATTTCTAATCATGTTGCTATGACACCCAGTAATAACTAGGAGTCTCAATTCTGACTTAGCCAGTATGCTGACATATGCAGGAGGAACATATATATCTAAGTTATTTATAATGTTCTCTCCACGTTATCTGAACTTCACATAATACTGTAGGCAGTTTAGGAACCAAAACCAGAAAGACTTCTGCCCTACCCTAGTAACCCTTGTACATACTTGCCAGCATCAACCAAATCTGAAAATACAGGTGGAGAGGCTGATTCCTTGTGAATTTTATGAAAATAGGCAGAGAGAGGAAATGAAAGTTGGTAGTCCCATAGGGGGAAAGACTCCATGACACCAAGTCTTATTAGACATCAGAGAATCTTCAGTGGGCCATAGCTTCAAGACCAAAGCCATTAAAAAACAAACTCTGTTGTTACTCTGCTTGCCGAATTACTTCTTTTTCTTTGTTTCTGCCTCCTATTTGTCATTGTTTTCTTTTATCCTTCTCCTGGAATACTGACCATTAAAGAGCTGGCGTTAGCGGAGGAAAAAACACAGGCCAAAAGGTGAATTCAGGCTCAGTGTGCGAATAAAGTGCAACCTACTTTCTTGAAAGTGCTGCAGCTTCTGCTCTGTGAACCTTGCTCTTCATCTGCTGGGGGCAGCGAGAGAGTGGAGCATAGTTGGCTCAGACAAATGCTGAGGAACACTGTCTTCAGTGTTCCCTTACAGGTATTGTAGACCAAGAATCTCACTTCAGTCTGGGGCTGCAACAAGTCTGTCTGGCAAGCTATTGTGTTTTGATAGTTTTCATTGCTCAATAAGTGGCCTGTCACATGCTGGGAAATTTGCAGCTTTCATGACTCCTCTCTTTCTGCCTCATTTTAGAAAGAGGTTTTTCTAGTCCACTTGCTCAGAGATGACAGTGAACAAAAATCTTGTTTTCTACTCTCCTATCTACCAAAATTTAGGTCCTTCCCATAAGTCATTCTAGCTCCCTAGAAGAGTTGCTGCAGAGATCCCTGAGTATCCATATGGGTGC